TTCAGAGTGCAGGCGCTGTACTCCCCACCTCCAGCCCTTCTTCAGAGTGCAGGCGCTGTACTTCCCACATCTAGCCCTTCTTCAGAGTGCAGACGCTGTGCTCCCCACCTCCACCCCTTCTTCAGAGTGCAGGCGCTGTGCTCCCCACCTCCACCCCTTCTTCAGAGTGCAGGCTCTTTACTTCCCACCTCCATCCCTTCTTCAGAGTGCAGGCGCTGTACTTCCCACCTCCACCCCTTCTTCAGAGTGCAGGCGCTGTATTCCCCACCTCCAACCCTTCTTCAGAGTGCAGGCGCTGTACTCCCCACCTCCACCCCTTCTTCAGAGTGCAGGCGCTGTGCTCCCCACCTCCACCCCTTCTTCAGAGTGCAGACGCTCTACTTCCCACCTCCACCCTTTCTTCAGAGTGCAGGCACTGTACTTCCCACCTACACCCCTTCTTCAGAGTGCAGGCACTGTACTTCCCACCTACACCCCTTCTTCAGAGTGCAGGCGCTGTACTCCCCACCTCCAGCCCTTCTTCAGAGTGCAGGCGCTGTACTTCCCACCTACACCCCTTCTTCAGAGTGCAGGCGCTGTACTCCCCACCTCCAGCCCTTCTTCAGAGTGCAGGCGCTGTACTTCCCACCTACACCCCTTCTTCAGAGTGCAGGCACTGTGCTCCCCACCTCACCCCTTCTTCAGAGTGCAGGCGCTGTACTTCCCACCTACACCCCTTCTTCAGAGTGCAGGCGCTGTACTCCCCACCTCCAACCCTTCTTCAGAGTGCAGGCACTGTACTCACCACCTCCAGCCCTTCTTCAGAGTGCAGGCGCTGTACTTCCCTCCTACAACCCTTCTTCAGAGTGCAGGCACTGTACTCACCACCTCCAGCCCTTCTTCAGAGTGCAGGCGCTGTACTTCCCACCTACACCCCTTCTTCAGAGTGCAGGCACTGTACTCCCCACCTACACCCCTTCTTCAGAGTGCAGGCACTGTACTCCCCACCTACACCCCTTCTTCAGAGTGCAGGCGCTGTACTTCCCACCTACACCCCTTCTTCAGAGTGCAGGCGCTCTACTTCCCACCTACAGATAACCGGTTTCCCTGAATCTCTTCATAAATCTTAAATAACACTCTTAAGGCTTTTTAAGATACGAAAAGGTAGTAATTGTGGAAGATTATGTTTTCATCCAAGTTAACTGGAATCCTCTGACTGGAAATCTGTTGCTCGATGACTTCCTAGAGGCTGTCCAGAGGTTTTTAATTAATTCTGGTAGAGGTAATAATCTGTTTGATTTAGTCTGTATATGAATGGTATATAATACTTACAAAATGAAAATTAAACATGTGCAACATCTGGGTGTCTTTATTGTAGACGTTTCGCCATCCAGTGGCTTTATCAATACAAATTCTAGGACATAATTAGAAGACGGTAGATCTGTATACAAAAGATGAGGTAATCCGTCCCTCAGCCTTGGAGTTGGTGAAGAGCAACGTAGTGGTGAAGAGTCTGGCAAGCAAGGAGACTCCTCGATAACTTTTAATAACATATGAAAGTACTGTATTAAGCATAATGCAGTGGATGTATGAGATTTTCGATCGACAGAAACAACCCTCTATTGGAACACCTGGCTAGTGTAGATTGGGATAACTTGGCCAGTAGTTATAATATCAAGGCTCTTACATATATTAACGTAAAGAGCTGACAGTATAACATATTTCTAACTATCGTACAAGATAAATAACAAAAAGGCACAATACTACTATGACTGGAACAATACACACATAACGTCGTCGTAAGCTCCTCTCTCCTATGTGCGGGTTATTTGTATATCGTAAAAGCTCCTACCCCCCCCCCCCCCAAAAAAAAAAAAAAATATTCCCAGTAGGGATAATAGATTAGACAAAACTAATCCCAGATGACAAATTCAAAAAATTTCCTGCAGTGTTCCTCTTGTATTGTAGTATCACGTAGCTGTATGACCCTATTGGGTCATACAGCTCTATGATACTACAATACAATTATGATAACAATTCTGTTATGATGATGATAATGGTAGTATTATGGAAGAATCCTTGGTATTATAGAACTTATTTTTGTTTGCTGATTTTGCGTCATGGAAGGTAGTATGGGCTGACCCTGCAATACAAGTGTCGTAAGTGGGTCTATTAGTGTCTATTCCCCTCAGGCTGTCGGCAGTCACTTGCCTTCTTACTACATATAAGATCGCATGTATGATCCGCTCTCTAAGTATTCGATAACCCCCCCCCCTCCCTTCGTGGGCGAAATGTTGTATACATTAACGGTTTTCTTGCATAATGTCTTATTTTTTTCCCTTTTTGATTATGTTAGTATCGGCAGCTACGTAGTTAAGAGGCGCCTGAGTTTCCTTGTCTCCTGTTATCACGTTTATTTTTCCACTATAATCTACCTTGTCTATAATTATTATCGCATTTGCTTCGTCTGCTTTCGTAAGGTGAAGTCCGGGATCTTTCCTTAATTCATGGAATAACCTAACAAATATCTGAGAACAGTTGTGTTGCGGAGGTTTGAGCTTTGCTCGTGAGGTTAACTAGAAACATATCACAAAATTATTTATTGTGGTTGATGTCTCACCATGCTGAGGTACACCTAGGTGCTTCTTCGCCATGCTGAGGCACACCTAGGTGCTCCCTCACCATGCTGAGATACACCTAGATGGTTCCTCACCATGCTGAGACACACCTAGATGGTTCCTCACCATGCTGAGACACACCTAGGTGCTTCCTCACCATGCTGAGACACACCTAGGTCCTCCCTCACCATGCTGAGACACACCTAGGTGCTCCCTCACCATGCTGAGATACACCTAGATGGTTCCTCACCATGCTGAGACACACCTAGATGGTTCCTCACCATGCTGAGACACACCTAGGTGCTTCCTCACCATGCTGAGACACACCTAGGTCCTCCCTCACCATGCTGAGACACACCTAGGTGCTCCCTCACCATGCTGAGACACACCTAGGTGCTCCCTCACCATGCTGAGGCACACCTAGGTGCTCCCTCACCATGCTGAGGCACACGCAGGCGCTCCCTCACCATGCTGAGGCACACGCAGGTGCTCCCTCACCATGCTGAGACACCTAGGTACTCCCTCACCATGCTGAGGCACACGCAGGTGCTCCCTCACCATGCTTAGACACCTAGGTGGTCCTTCACCATGCTGAGACACACTTAAATTGTCTCTCACCTTGCTGAGGCACATCTAGGTGCTCCCTCACTATGTTGACACACCTAGGTGCTCCCTCACTATGTTGACACACCTAGGTGGGCCGTCAGCAGCACAATTACATTGGGAAGCCCCAAACCGCATCATGAAAGTGAATTTTCTCACTCTGCATTCTGCGACGGTTGCAGACACAGAGAAGTGCATGTCTCTCAGTACATATGCACTAAGAGCTTACTCTAATCCCTATTCTAGATACTAAAGTATTCATGACTGGTAGTGAATAGGTGACATGTTGCAGTTTTAAGAGACGCGTCTCCTAACATCAGGTTTGTTTTTCCCCTGTTATCTACCTTGTCCATAATTACTATTGCATTTACGAAAGCAGACAAAGCAAATGAGATAGTAATTATGAACAAGGTGAATTATAGGGGGGGGGGGGAAATCACATTATAAGGCAGAGGCACTGACGTGCCCCATAATGACCCTCATGTAGGCGTTTGGATTTGAACCCCTTAAACCATGCGTAGCCTAGTTGATCCAAGACTATGTAGCTGGCTACAGTGAGGGTTCAGTATACTCTTATAAATAAACATTATCTCCCTGACAATGCTCAGTGAGTTACTTTGCTGTATATTTATCAGCTTTGTTTTGTTTCCTTTTTTCTTTACGAGTTTTTCCTTTTAATCGTGTTTCACTTTTCATTTTTGTTGTTTTATAGAATTCCTGACGATGGAATGGAATCCGAAACTGACTGTGAGAGAAACAATTCGGTTTCAAGTATTTTTTCTTTATTTCATCCAAGTGCGGAGTCAGTGATATTGTGTGTACAGGTATGGCAGCAGTGTGTATAGCATTAATAATAAAGAATAGAAAGGTATAATACACTGACTGGAACAATTCACAAATGGCATCCGAAGATAGGAGATTGACACTTGTTAGTGGACCAAGCGGACCGAAACGTCGTCATAATATCATTAATGTGTTTTTTTATAGGTGTGTAAGAAGTAAAATGGGTATTCAGCTAGATATATTTAAATTATCAAAATATAAAGAAATCATTGCGTCAACTAAAGTCGCCACCGTCGGTAATGTGTTGCCTAAGTTGTGAGCGACACTTAATACTGCGCATCCGAGCAAAAGAAACCATATTCACCATCATTCATTCAGTAGCTCTCTTGCTAGAAGTTCACATGACCCTGAAGCATCCCCACCCCCGTGGTAAGTGCAGGCACTCTACTCTCCACCTCCAGGATTCAAGTCTGGATAACTGGTTTCTCTGAATCCCTTCATAAGTGATACCTTGCTCACACTCCAACAGCCCGTCAAGCCTTAAAAATCTCTTGTATTATCTCTTAGATCGCTTCGATCTTAAACTCTCACTAAGCTTGCTGGATGTTCAAGCCAACACCACGCAAAACCACCCTTATTTTCTCCTGGAATGCCCAGTAATTCTCCTTTCTTCCACCCCAGATATACGTCTGTTAATCATCCTAATCTTCGCCATTATCTTTAAACAACCATAACACCTCAACAGCCTCTCCCCAGCCCTCTGAATTATTCTTCTGGTAACACCTACAGTCTTCATATAGCCAAAATCCTATTCTTCTGCTTAATATTATCACTCAACTTTGCTCACATAAATTATATCTCCATTGTCCAATGCTTCTACATAAATATATATATATTTTATATATATATATATATATATATATATATATATATATATATATATATATATATATATATATATATACGGTACAATATATCAATATATATGCTATGCAATTGTCGTGGTTAAGTACTCACTGTCTTTAAGAATAGCGAAGTACACAGCGTGTGTCAAGAGCTAGGGTTTCACTCCGTCCTGGACTCTATGTGCAGCAAACTGAAGTTTTGTATTGGCACACAATTGCTTACTAAGGTTGAAAATACGAAGCGCTGAGTTGCCATAAACCAAGGATCAAGGTTCTGACAAGACGGAACGCTGTCATGTTCAACGAACAAAACCAATTTTTCTTTATCCTGGCAAACAAAAAATTCTTTTTAGTAATCATCACAGGTACATTTCCGGCAGGTATATTCTTACTGTAAGTCATATTAACTACATACATGTACATATAATATGCGAAACAACCACGGGGGGAGTAGAAATGCATAAAATATATATATATATATATATATATATATATATATATATATATATATATATAATATATATATATATGTGTGTGTGTGTGTATGTGTGTGTGTATGTGTGTGTGGTATGTGTGTGTGTATGTGTGTATGTGTGTGTGTATGTGTGTGTGTATGTGTGTGTGTGTGTGTGTGGTGTGTGTGTGTGTTGTGTATGTGTGTGTGTATGTGTGTGTGTGTGTATGTGTGTGTGTGTGTATGTGTGTGTGTGTATGTGTGTGTGTGTATGTGTGTGTGTGTGTATGTGTGTATGTGTGTGTGTACGTGTGTGTGTGGTGTGTGTGTGTGTGTGTGTATGTGTGGTGTGTGTATGTGTGTGTGTATGTGTGTGTGTGTGTGTGTGTGTGTGTTGTGAAACAAGCCACGGAGGGACGAAAATCTTATCATCCCCTCGAGGCTTGTTTTGCATTGTTAAGACCTTCCGTCTGTGTTGCAATGCACTTGCCAATGTGTTTTTCATAGCAAAACAAGCAATAATGGTTGAAATATTTGTCTTCAATATTTTGGTGGTGAGGAAAGAGCCTTCGCCCGGTTTTGACGACATTTCATAACACGTTATGTTTTGAAACATAAAGACCAACCATTGTATGTCTTTCATATTATTTCTTTTTGTAATCTCAGCCGTTATTGTATGTAAATAATAATAATAATAATAATATATATTATATATATATATATATATATATATATTTTATATATATATATATATATATATATATATATATATATAATATACATATATATCAGAACCAAAACTAACACAGCAATCTCAGTTAGCTATGTTAAAATTATGTTAAATAATGAATGCATAATCCGACCAAGTTCTTAGTAAATCCTATTGAGAAAGAATTATTTTATATCATTGGAATATATTAATATGGTGATGTTCAGTCTGTTATTTTGTGAAATTAATACAACAATGAATATATATTTTGCTTCCTTGGCAAAACATAATCATTGTTTTATAAGCCGAGATTGCAAACTTTGCGACAAAAACAATTCAGCTAATCGTTGTAGTTTGTGTCTGTGTGTGCGTATGTTCAGTGAGAAATATGCACTCAGTTGACACTTTATTAGGTAGATCTGTACTCCTACTCGTTAACGCAAATATCTAATCAGCCAATTACGTGGCAGTACCTCAGTGCCTAAGAGCATGTAGACACGGTTAAAAGGTTCAGTGGTTGCTCGGACCAAACATCAGAATGGGGAAGAAAATGAGGAAGAAAATGGAATAATTGTTGGTACCAGACTAGCTGATTTGTGTATCTCAGAAAATGTTGATCTCTGGGAATTTCACGCACAACATTCTCTAGAATTTACAGAGAATGGTGTGAAAAACATAAAACATCCAGTGAGAGGCAGTTCTGTGGGTGAAAACGCGTTGTTAATGAGAGGTCAGAGGAGAATGGCTCAAATAACCACGTGTTACAACAGTGTTAATCAGAAGGAAGAGCATCTCTGAATACACTATACGTCGAACCTTGAAGTGGATGGGCTGAGTGGTCAAAGTCTCACCGCTAGTGAACAGTTGAAAATTATGAAAACGTCGTCTGGTCTGACGATTCGCGATTTCTGCTGCGACATGCAGATGGTAGGGTCAGAATTTCATGCAAACCTTTGGCATATGGTGGATAGTGAGAGTGGCAGCACGAATGTGCAACCGACAGATTTGCAGCAACTGTGTGATGCTATCATGTCAACATGGACCAGAATCTGTAAGGAATGTTTCCAGCACCTCGTTGAATCATTGCCACGAATTCAGGCAGTTTTGAGGCAAGAGGAAGGACCTACCTAGTAGTAAAAGTGGCCACTGAGTGTATATCTTAGTGTACATCAATTTAAATATGTATCTCTTCGCAAATATAAACACACACACACACTACACTACACACACACACACACACACACACACACACACACACACACACACACACACACACACACACACCACACACACACACACACACAACATACACACCTCATTGTGTATATCATTACTGATATATACACACCTAAAGGCTTAACTCTCCCCATAAATATAATAAAATAATAATAATAATAATAATAATAATAATAATAATAATAATAATAATAATAATTCTGTCTTTTTCACATACCAGTCAGCGTACTTTCCCAGCCACTACAATGCTAATTACTTCAACTATCTGTTCTATTTGCACTTGTAAGTTTTACTGACTCGAGGCAAATAACCGAGGTGAGCCTTGTACTGCAGGCCGATTAGACGATGCATATCTAAGATACAATAGTCAGTGTATTCAAGACCACACCAACGACTGCCCACTTTTATTTTAACGACTTTTACAATTAAATAATTCAAAATACCCAACAATTCCTCCCTTCTGGTTTTAATCTCACATGTAAACATTATTATTATTATTATTATTATTATTATTATTATTATTATTATTATTATTATTATTATTATTATTCGGTATTTATGTTACTGAAATTTTCTCAGCTGTTTTAATGCCAACATTGTTCACTGAAAGTTAATAAAAGTAACTTTCTGTCAAGGTACCAATTTTGTTCTATTTTTTTCACGCTTTCAGGAACTAACAATTCACTTACATTCTCATTGTATATACAATGAGATTTTGACTTAAATAACAACGTTCGTCTTGCCGAATAAGGCAAACGAAACTTTGTGTATGCAATAATTTCGCAAAGATCATTCTGAACCTAACGGGAAAAAATATATTTCATTGTTTTTTATATTATTAAATTATTGTAAACTTCTCTAAAATATATTTAGTTGGGTTACCCTAAATTAAATTGCGCTTGTTATAATAAGGTTGGGTAAGTTTCCTAAGGTTCTTCTGGTACAAAATTATTAATTTTTACATTAATATACATGAAAAAATATATATCTAAACTAATAAGAGAAAATTTTAGAAAGGACTTAATTTTAAATGACTTCTTGCTAATTGACCAGTTTTACCTATTAGGCACGACATATATATTATATATATATATTATATATATATATATATATATATATATAATATATATATATATATATATATTATATATATATATATATATATATATATGCAATAAGTCACAGTAAACAGGTGATATCACAATATTCAAAACAGCCACTGAAAATATAGTGAAATTCCAAGCGCTTTTGTGACTTCTCACATTATCAAAGACCTGTAAAGGCACTAATACAGCAGAAGACTTATAAGGCTGAGATCAGCACTGTATGACCCTGGAGTATTTAGCACTCAGTTTGGTTAATAATAATAATAATAATAATAATAATAATAATAATAATAATAATAATAATAATAATAATAATCACCTCACATACGACATTATACTCGTCCCATTATGATGCTGGTGGGATGGTCGAGGACTTGTCAGGCATAGGTTAAATTCTTCCTAGATTTATTAATTATAAATGAATCTAATTCGTATAACCCTAAATTAATATTCATTTTAAAATCAAAACTCTTTTTTATGGAGCTTTATTTAATTATATTTCTTTCGATCATAGACCTACTTGATACAGCTTATTCTGCCTTTTGAAAATCGGATGATTAAAATCTCTCTCAAGAATAAACAGAGCATTAGAAATGGACTTAGTGTTTATAGTGTATTATGACTGTTGGTGTATGTACACCAGGTACATACCTCTCGGTGTATATACAGGAAAACCACACCAGTCGATGTACGTACACTAAGGGATACACACCTTTTGTTGTATTTACATTGAGAGATTCACACCATTCGATTTATAATCGCAGAAATACATATCGGTTCATGTACACAGAGTTACGCCCCTGTCAGCGTATATTCACTGAGACACACCTCTCCTCTCCGTGTATATACACTCTTGCTAACAGCTGCTCATTCCTCAAGGATAGGAAAAACAAGGAAAAAACATATTCTTATGCCGAATCATCATTTTCTTCTCATTTTTTTTTTTCTGCACTCTTTCTGTTACCGTGTCTACGAATTGATTGAAAATAAGAATATTGGTGTGAAGGAGGGGAAGAGTGTACTGTGGTGGAGTTACCATTCCTGTGCTAAATAAAGGCATCTGTCAAGGCACTTTGTCAAATTATTAAGTTGATAAACACGGGGTTATATGTACTTGAAATAGTTAATCCTTATGTATACTCCATCTCTGTACATAAATGTATCTTTTAAGCCTTGTGTACCATGCTTCGTTATGATACATATTTGTGACTTTATAAAGATGGGTTGGTAGAAGGGAAATATTCAACAGGCTTCAGGGAAAAGACCAAATATTTTTCCCCCAATGAGTTTTTTTTCTCTACTTCTACGAGGCTTTGGGTCCCCAGAATTTGCACTACAGATGGGGGTCTCAGAAAGGGTATATTTTATCCCACGTTTCAGAGAGATAACTTGACAATGACTCTTGTGATCGGATTCAAACTTTCAGTTTTGATATTCCTTATTTATAAGTAGTTTTGGACGGGTTGTTGGGCTGTGCATGCCAATATACCAGTTTTTTTATTGAGAGTGTCACTTTCGGTGTAATAGCTTAACAATGCTTCTGCCGACCGGCTTCAAACTACTGACGCTGCTATATCCCATTTAGGCAAAGGTTTTAAAATTTTGCTTGAAAAAAGTGGAATTTTTTTTATGTAATTTTAAGATTGCATTCTCTGTAAGACATCAAACTAAGGACACTGACTCATCTTGAGACATAG